TGCTGCCTTTGAACAAAGAACCAAAAGGGAAGCAGCCAGTTGAGCTCCATCCAGGGACACGCAGCCCTCATAGCTGTCAGTGAGCCTAAGCAAGGCCATTGGACAAGGAAATGCCGCGGACAGACAACTGGGCCTTGGGGACTGTGGAGCTGGGGTTGGAGAGGAGAGCGGTGTTCACCCAGCTCCGGGCTCGGTCCTTGGTAGGTATTTGAGGAGACCGAGAATGTCCACTGGAAATATTTAGTGGGTAGTTAGAAAGGGGTCTGACTCTCAGGAGAGAAGTGGAAACAGAGGGAAATTTGGGATCCTAGAATCAGCAGACAGGTTCACAGGTCATCTCTGTCCACAGTGCATTGCTGTTAGCATGTTATACCCTTGACCTTTGCCATGGCTCCGACGGTGGCTTTTTCATTTTATACTTTGGGAAACAAGTTTGGAGATTAAGTGCTTTGCTCAGTAAACCAGTCACAAAAGTATTTTGCACAGGTGCTAATTGGGTATCTTAGTTCTTGTCATGTATATTTAAATAGTTTCTATTTTTCAGGTTAGATGGCAACGCTGAAAGGTAGGCCTGCGACTCTAATTATAAAAATCATGAATGAGCTGTATCACCACATACCTGAGAATCACTGTGTGTTAATGACTAGGGTAACTTTCCTATTGAGAAGTAAGTTTCATCCTGAAAATTGTTAAAACATTATTAAGCAAATAGGGATAGCAGACTTAGCTGTTTTCTGTGTTTTAGTTTATATAAGCATGTTGGTAGCATTAGAATCCACTGTAGCTCCCCAGGAGGAATTATTAATTGCACCTCAGTAATCTTTGTGTCCATGCTGGTCTGTCTGATGACAGTTGCCCACAGTTAAGTCTGCGTGGATTGAATGCCTGCCGTGTTTAACAGTTGTACTAGTGACTAAAAGCACCGCAAGCTGGCCCCACACCTGGGATTTCCAGGTCTGAGCTTGATGGCCACAGGAGGATGTTGGTAGGACATTTCCACACCGAGTCATGCTCTGACCCAAAGGTGGCCCTGGCCACTTCCTGAATTCTGCAGCATCTGTGTCCCAACTCTGTTCTGTCCCAGAGCCACACTGGAAGTGCTCACTGCTCAGAATAATCACACACGCTGCATCCTTGCTTCTTCACACATGCAGGAAGAGAGAGACAGAAGCCTGTGCTCCCAGCTGGGACAGAACTTCCTGCGCACTTTCAGCAGGTGTGTGACTCACACCCCATTTTGGAAGGAGCACTTGGATGCAGTTCTGATTCTTAGTTTGAGAGAAATACTTATTTTTATTTTTAAGGAAAGTTATGGTACACATTGTTTTAACATACTGTTTGTAATTTCCGCATGTGGGAATACAGGTCCTCCTGACCCAAATGCATGTTTGGATCTCAATTATGATAGTAGGTGAACTTGGCTGGGGCACCATTGCTGTTTATTCACAGATGCCATATATTTTAGAATGTGTTGCATCCTTAGGAAATTACTGTTTTGGACAAACACCTCAAGCTTTGAGCTGAGTGATATCTGTGAGGTTCTAAATTTCTGCATTTCTTCTACAAAGCTGCACCCCTTTGTTTGTACTCTTCCCGGCAGTTTCTAAGATGATACCTGTTCCATTACCCCCTTCCCCAAACAGCATCTTTTAAAGTCTTTATCAGTTACTTTAATTGGAATTGCTTTAGGCCCCTGAGAAAGTGAAGACATTTTCATGTTTCAGCTTTTTGTGGTCCTTCCCGTGCAGATATTGGTGGCTACTCGTTAGCACCACCTCATGGTCCCTGTCGGCATCAAATCCTCACTCCTGAGATGACCTCCTTTACACATTCCCTGTGTGTTTCTACTTATTGTCGTGGTTTTTGCCACCAAGAAGGTTTCACAGGCTCTGCCCACCACGCCTTACTGCTGAACACACTGTGACATCAGAGCCTGGGTGGCAGCAACTCTCTCCCCCTCCCCCTGGTATTTTCCCTGTGGCCATGAGAACTCTCTCCCCACCCCCACCCCCACCCCGCCTAGAACTTACTGGACTAAAGGCCTGGTTTCCTTAGAGACCACAGAAGTCACCATGGCCTAGCTGAGTGCTGAGACAGCAGCTGCTTCGACTTGAGTCACACTCACAGGGAGTGAGCTCTTTCACCACAGGCACCAGTCGATCCTTCACACAGTCCCATCGTGGGGTCATTCAAGGTCCCAGGACTTCTCCAGGTCCAGTTGAATGTTTGTTTTCCAGGTGCCCACTGGAGCAGGTGAGAGAGACTGTTGAGTTCATGCTGTTCCCTGTGCATGTGTCAGAGCAGTAAGACCACAAGGTTTCACAGAGGGATCCAGGTGACAGGAGGCAGAGCTGGGGACAGAAATGGGGAGGTGGCAGCACACAGAGGCAGGGTACCTGGAGAGCTTGGCCGGCAACCCAAGGCCAAGCTAGCTTCCAAATCCAGGGGTGTGTTTCAAAGTCAGGGACAAGGACAGCAGCTGCAGGTTCCGGCAGAAGCCACCCAGGCTGAAGGCAAGACTTGGAAACAGGCGTAGAGGCTGAGGGAAGCAGGGTTGTCATTGTGACCAGATGGTACGGTTCCTGTCCATACTAACACTTTATATACATCATTTGAATTCCTCACAGCTGATCCTCACTCCAACCGCACATGGTGGCTGACATCCGTGGCAGTCAGGACTGTGGCAGTTCAGACAGCTCAAGCCAGTCAGGGGGAATTTTCAGCAGCGACTGGACTCCAGTGGCCACACTGGCTGTGCAGTTGGCAAAGCTCCTGAACTGGATGCTGAGGCCTGCAAGTCAACATGAGGATGGAGGAATCTGAGTGACAGGGACACAGGCAGAGGGTGGCCAAGCCAGGGGTTGGCCTTGGTCAGCACTGCAGGGTTTTGAGTTTCAAACTTACTAGGATTAACACAAATTCCCCAAACCTGCTGTTTTGTGGGTAGCTCTGATCTCTCACTGGCTGGCCACACTCTGGCTCCAGGAAAGGAGTGGGCCGGCTGCTCACGTCTGGGTTAGAGTAGCTCTGTGAGGGCCAAGGGAACAGAAAAGTACAGCAGGTGGGGAATGCAAACTCTCCCACAGAGTAGAAATCTACAGTCCCCCAACTTTCCACAGCAGGGGGTTGGTTTGTCAAATTCCACACACTCAGGTGTCCGTGGTCCTTACAATCTCAGAAGCAGGGCTGGGCTGGCAGCTCTAAGATAAGGACAGGAGATGGTGCAGCTACCTTTCTCCTGCTGAACTGGGCCTGTGGTGTTATGGGGGAAATTGATAAACTTGCTTTAGGTTCTGCAGATTATGATCAGATGCTGGGTTCCAAGGAACTAGCTAGTAAAGTGCTCTTGCCGTGTCCTTATCAGTAAGATAGAAAACAGAATCACACTGTAAGGATTTACACTTTGTAGTGTTTGAGTTGCCATCATTTGGTAGTAAATACAAACCGCATCATATGTATGTTAAAATTTTTATCCACAGTGCGAAAATAATTTGTGTATGAAATCAGTTGCAGTTTGTTTATTTGGAAAATGATAATATTCATGATTTGGGACCCAAAAGTAAAAACATGTCTAAATAAAAAAAGAAAATTTTACCCTCTAAAACTTAATTTTTAATTGGAATTGTTGAATGGGTAACACTTCACATGGGCTTAAAAAAAACAAAAAACCAGTAATTTTTCTATTTTATTGATTTTTCAGAGCTCTTTATATGTGAAGGATGGGAGCTGTGATTAGTTTCTAGTATACCCGTAGTTTCCACGTGTATATGTGAACAAATATAAATGTGCATGCTCACTTTCTCTCTGTTTTTTACACAAGCAGTAGCATATTTTATAACTGTCCTCCGCCTGGCTCTTTGGTTAATGGTATATATTGGATAATCTCCCACAGTAGTGAATGGAGGGCTTTTCTGTTTTTAAAAGCTGCATAGGATTTCAGATGTGTTCTATTGATAGACACTGAAGTTGCTTCAAATCTTTTGTTATAACAGCAATTCGGTCCTAAAAGCTTTGATATGTTCCATTTTGCACATATATATAGAGTCAATTCTTAGGAGTAAAATTGCTCCAAAGATCTGTGCCTTTGTAATTTTATAGCTGTTTCCAAATTATTCTCCAAATGGGTAGGCACCTAATGTATAAAAATGCATGTATCTCCTTTCTTATAACTATTATACAAATTTTGATTTCTGCTAATCGAATAGGTTTTGTGTTAATATGGTTGAGCATCTTTTCACTGGAGTATCTACTTAAAGTGTTTGCCCATTGACTTTTTGGGTTGCTGATCTTTGTCTTGTTCATTGAATTCTAAGAGCTCTTGATATATTAAGGGTACAGGTTATAATTGGTGAAAGGTGTATTTTTTCTTGTCTATCTTGATTTATAAATATGCTGATGGCAGGTTTTTCATGCATAAATTTTATTGTTATGTAGTTTAAACTGTAAATCCTTTTACTGCATTGGGGTGTTCAGTTAGAATTAGAAGGGTCTTCCTTTGACTACAAAGTTGTAAAGGAATTTGCTCATATTTCTGTTAGTACTTTCATGATTTTATATTTAACATATAAATAATTGACTTACTTGGAATTAATTTTTTTTTTTTTTTTTGTAGAGGGGTGGGTGAGGGAAAGGAAGATCTCTTTGTGTAAAGAGACGAAAAAGCCATCACAGGAAACTAGATTAAAACTGGAAAACAAGTCCTGGCTGGTTCAAGCCAAACCCAACGTTGTTAACTCGCGGGGTGTTTGCTATGGTGGTTGGGATGGCGCGTCTTTTTTTCCTTTTGTTTGACTTGACTGTGTGTTTTCGCCTTTTGTCTCTTAATGACGGTCACACCATTGCTATATCCGGAGCAGTAAACAGTCCTCAGCGAAGCCGCCTTTTGCCAACCCAACCCTGGAAAGTTTACATAAGTGGAAAGAGCAGAAAATGCCAAGAGAGTGTAACTTAACCCCCAAAAAAAGGTAACAACAACAAAGGCACCACCATTTCCCCCAGATACTCCCAACTAAACAATCCCGGACAAAGATCTTTTTTTTTTTTCCCAATAACATCTCCCAAACCTCCGTCCAGCTTGATCTTCCAGACTCCCTGGCACCGGGCCGAGCTTACGGGTAAGTTTAAAAAAAAAAAAAA